GAAGGGAAAAAAAATTGTTTAAATAGGGATACAGGTGGACCCATTGTAACAATGAGATGTACAAGACGTTATGTAGAAAAATGAACTTTATAACTTTGGCCTGGGGGGGGGCTGGGAAGGTAGCTCAGTGGTAAAGTGCTTGCCTTGCATGCCTGAGGCCCTGGGTTCGATTCCTTAGCATACCACATAAGCAAAAAGAAAAAAGTCAGAAGTGGCGCTGTGGTTCAAGTGGTAGAGCGCTAGCCTTGAGCTGAAGAGCTGAGGGACAGCGCCCAGGCCCAGAGTTCAGGCCCCATTACCGGACCCAAAAAAAACCGAAAAAACAAAAAACAAAAAAACTTTGGCCTGGGATGTGGGGGGGGGGAGGGGAGATGGGAAGGGGAAATGAGGAGGCAACAATGCTTGATAAGAAATGTACTCATTACTTTGCCCATGTAATTGTAGTCCCTCTGTACGGTATTTTCACAATTAAAAAAAGGGGGGGGGCAGAGTATGGTAGTACATACCTGTAGTCTCAACATAGGAAGATCACAAATTCAAAGCTAGCCTGTGGCCTGTGCTGTGTACTAAGACTGTCCTTCAAGAGACACAGAGAAGGCGGGGGGGGGGCGGAGAGGGAGAGGGAAAAAGAAGAGAGAGGAGGTTGTTGTTTTTTAAGGTAAAAGAGAGGACATTCACCTAGCATCGATGGCTCACACCTGTAATCCTAGCTACTCAGGAGGCTGAGATCTGAGGTTCATGGTTCAAAGCCAGCCAGGGCAGGAAAGTCCGTGAGACTCTTATCTCCAATTAACTACCAGAAAACTGGAAGTGGCGCTGTGGCTCAAGTGGTAGAGTATTAGTCTTGAGCTGAAGAGCTGAGGGACAGCGCCCAGGCCCAGAGTTCAAGCCCCATGACGGAGGAAGGAAGGAAGGAAGGAAGGGAAAGAAAGGAAGAAAGGAGGACATTCACTAGTTGGTGAATAATCCGATACTTGGAGGTACTGGCAAGAGGACTGCAGTTCAAGTCCAAACTACAAAGTTAGCCAAGACCTATCTCAAAAGCCAAATACAAATAAAAGGACTCTGGCTCAAATGGTAGAGTGCCTGCTAGCATGCACAGTCTCCATACCAGAACAAAAAGAGCAGGAAAATGAAGGGTGTGCCGTGTAGGGAAGAAGAGTGCAAAGGGGGGGGGGCTCAGCATTCTCCCAGAGATGCAGCCGTTGAGAGGCTGGGGAGGGGCCTGGTGCTCGTCCAGCCTTGGTGAAGCTCTGGGTTCTATCCCCAGCACCACCACGGGAAAAACTAAACTAGGCAGCTAACCCTATGCCGTTTATCCTGGTGTGGTGCCAGGGCCCTGTTGTGTGGGGCATCTGGAGGACACTGAGCTCTGAGCCTTCAACCCCTGCCTTGCAGGCTGTCCCCTGGCTGTGTGGATGCGGGAGCAGAGCCGGGCAGGAGCCGGATGATCAGCCAGGGGGAGTTCGCCAGGCAGCTGCAGCTCTCGGACCCCCAGACAGTGGCTGGTGCCTTCAGCTACTTCCAGCAGGTAAAGAGAGCAGAGCGGAGCTCAGAGCCAGGACGCACTCCAGGCTAGCCTGCCTCTGAGTTCCCTGGCATCCTGTTGGCCACCCAGCCGAGTGTGTGCTAGACAACTTCTCCACATATCCCGAGCACTGTGATCACAGAGGAGGAAAAGGGAAGGGCCCATCGGTGAGCCCCATCAGTTTCTGATGCCACTTTAGGCACTGGCAAAGCTGAGAACTCGGAGAGGTGTAGGACACAGAGTGAGTCTCAGGAGTCAGGTGGGCGAGGTGGGGGAGCGGTGTGGAAGAATCACTTCTGCACCAGTTAGACCTGGAGAATGGGAGACCCACAAGTATTTGGAATACTTGGGCAGATTTCTTTTTTGCATATTCTGTAGCTTCTCTAAGCGATTTCCTCAGCTGACTCAAGAACCTTGGCAAACTGTATTTCCTGTGATGTAACTGTATTTCCCAGGTTAAGTATAATTCTTGTTATTTTTTTGTTTTTCCTTCTTTTGGAAGGAGGGTTCTCATGATGCCCAGGCTAGTGTACAGTCTGAGGCTCAGGGTCTTCCTACTCAGCCTACTGAGGTGCTGAGACTACACGCGTAGACTACACAACCAACTTGTAACAGCCAACATTAGTTACAGGGCGCTTCCTCCTCCACTCTCCTAGGGCCAGGGATCAAACCCAGGACCTCGAACATGTTAAGTGTTGCACCACTGAGCTATTCCCTAGTCTCCCTAAAGGCACTTTTCTCAAGATGCACTGTGGCTGTCAACATCCTCTCAAGGATGCTAGAGAGATAGAGTGCATCCTGATGCACTCACACCAGTAATCCCAGGAGAGATCTTATGCTTGTGTATGGGTGCATATGTGTGCATGTACACACACACACACACACACACATCTACACCTGTAATCCCAACACTTGAAGGAATGTCAAGTTAGAGGCCAGACTGGGCTGCATAAAACCTGCTCCAGAGCAGCAGTGTGGAGTCCTTGGGCAGCTGGTACAACAGGAATCCCACTGGAATTTGAATTTTCTGTAAGAAATTAGGCCATTGCCCCCCCCCCCACCTCCTTGGATTTTGCTGGGCCAGTTCTCCCATAGAGGCTGTCGTGAGAGAACCAGTCTGTCCAGCTTAGGGACCAGAAATGCCCTCCTCTGGTATGTCAGAAATCTGATAGTAACTTCAGAATTCCCCAGGACTGGGTTCTGAGCAGAGTGGTCACAAGGTCACGCCTGCTGAGAGGAGCCGCTGAGAGAGACCACAAGGGAAGAGGAGGTTTTGAGGCTCCCTGGTAACTGGTTTTCCTTTGACCCTGCAGGATGCCAAGGGTTTGGTGGACTTCCGAAATGTGGCTTTGGCACTAGCGGCTCTGGACGGTGGCAGGAGCCTGGAGGAGCTGACTCGTCTGGCCTTCGAGGTACCCGGGGTCAGTGGACGTCCACCCCACGGACGTCTGTGGGGTGTCATTCCCCGTGGCTGTAGTCAGCAGCGCCTCGTGTCCTGCCAGTGCCACACAGTCTTGGGTTGCACCCAGCATCGCTGTGTGGAGGCGGAGGTGGGAACCAGCGGGTGGAAGCTTCCAGTTCTCCTGCAGAGAAGGTCCCACAGGTCCGAGCGTGCCAGTGGAAGAGTAGGAGCCTGTGGAAGCTGTGCACCTGACTGGCATCCTTGTCTTGCCCAAGCTGTTTGCTGAGGAGCAGGCAGAGGGATCCGGTCGCCTGCTGTGTAAAGACGGCTTCAGCACCATCCTGCACCTGCTGTTGGGCTCACCCCACCCTGCTGCTGCGATGCTGCATGCTGAGCTCTGCCGGCCAGGACCCGGCCGTGGCCTCTCCCTCTGTGAGTCGCTGCTCAGCCATGGGAATCAGAAAGTACCAGGTTAGGAGGGAGCAAGGGTGAGGCCCGTGCCAGGGCACAGGGTCTCTACGAGGTAAATTTGGAAAGGAGGTAGAACACAAACCTGGACTTGAGAAGGCAGACAGCTGAGAGGAGCCAGGCTCTGTCTGAAAGGGCAATCACCCTTTTCTTCATTCTTGGGCCCTTTCACCTCTTTTCTCACTCTTTATCCAGATGAGTTCCAGAAGTTTTCCCTTCACGACCCTCTCTATGGGAAGCTCTTCAGTACCTACCTGCGCCCCCCCCACAAGCCTCACAGCATCTCCCAGATACCAAACACCTCGACCCCGGGCAGCCCCACGGCGCTGGCCAACAGGACTCTGCAAGCACCCAAGCCCAAGGGCGACTGATCGCCTGGGCCTCCCCCCTGCGCCCCGGCCTTCCCTCCCCCACCACGTGCCTGGGCCTGCCCCGTGTGCCCATGCCTCCTGCCCACCCCACTCTCGCGTGCGCACCTGGGCCTCTCGCGCCTCCTCCCTCAGCTCAGATCCAGCCCCGCACTCAGGACAGCGCTGGGGACCGCCCTACGCCTCAGTCCCATCTCTGCTCTGGTTTGCTTTTTGTTATCAATGTTTATTTTAAGTTGGTTTTAATTTTTGTAAGAAACTATTTTATATATAAATATATATATATCTATTTAAAAAATGGGTTCAGTGACATTGATATTAGTTTGGAGGGAAAGGAATGAACAGCTGTGGGGTGCTCAGTGGAGATCTGAGAAAGTTCCAGAGGCCAGTGTCAGGCAACTGCAGGGTGAGTTCTCAGCTCTGGGATGGAAAGCCTGCTTTCCTGTATAGACATTGCAGAGGCCTCTCTCCTCCCAGTACAGCTTCCCCATGAACCTTCAGCCCATCCCTTGTACTGTTCCCAGTAAAGATTGAAAAACAGCTTACTGCCGTTCCATATTTAAGTCCTACTGAGAGCTGCCTCCATCGCCAGTGGTGGGAGCAGGGAGCTGTGTCAGTACAAGAGCTGTCTCCTGTAGGGCTGAGCAGCCATGGAGAGAGTTCCCCTAACACGCTGTGAGGTGAGGGCACAGCAAAGAAATGGCCCCTCAAGGAGCTACGTCTGGACACACATCAAGAGCTGATTTGCTTGAGGAAATTAGATGTCTGCATAGAGATGTGACAGGTCAAAAAGCACCTTCCCCTTTCTGGAGTCATAGGGAACTCCTCAGCAGTACGTCCTCATGTGGCAAAGAAGGGATAAAAAAAAGACCTTAGGGCACAGCGTGAAAGCTAGTTGCTAGCCCAGAGGATGCTGCAGGAACCAGGACCCAGCCTGAGGGCGACAGCTCCTTCATCCACAGAATCTGTAACTACCCCATCTGCTTTCATAGGATCCTGCCCAGTGCAGCAAACATTCAAAAGGACACAGCGAGAACAATCCAAAAGAAAAATCCTTTATGATCTTTTTTCACACAGCTCCTTCCAAAAGTCCTTCCCCCTTCCAACTACAGGAACCAGTCACAACCAACCTAGCCAGTCTGACCTCCCACCAGGCTCCCTAGCACAGCCATGCAGCCCGGGACCCACAGGGCTTCTCAGGTGGTAAACAGCAGCGGTGAAATCCCTAGGGCAGCTGCCCTCGGGGACTGGCAGGTGGGGTAAGGCGGTCCTGTTTACACCTGGCTACGGCGCCGCTTCTTCCTTCTGCCAGTGGCGTGACTGTCGCCCCGCCTTTTCCGAGGTGGTGAAGGCTGTGCCGGGGGTTTCTCCCCATGGGCTCCAAGTTGAATTCCTGGCTGGGGTCTCCTCACAGCCGAGGCTGACCCTCCGGCCAGGCCTTGCTTGTCAGACATGGTGGCAGGGTGTGGGAGCTGGCCCAGGCCCCTAGCCTCGGCGGAGAGCTGGGATGTTGTCTGGATGCCATGACCTCCAGAGGCTGGTTGAGTACCGAGGGGACGCCCCCGTGGAGACAGGCTGAGTTTCGAGGCCAAGAGGTAAGCGAAGTTGGAGAGTTGCTCATCCTCTCCCTCCTCTTCCTCCTCCTCCCTGCCCTTGGCCCCATCCAGTGAGTCACGTGTTTCACTAATACAGATCCCTCTCAGAGCTAATGCCTCCCCGCCTTCCCACCTCGGGGAAGTGCTCCCAGGACTAGGGAGTGGTGGGGAGCTGAGAGTCCTGGGGACATAGGGCTCTAGACTGTCTTGTAAAAGAACAAGGTCATCACACTTGGACAGGCAGCTCTCTTCCCTCCTCTCTTCTTGGAAGTCATAAGAATCAAAATCCTTGCTGCCCCTTAATTGGAGGCCACAGTAATCTGAGACATCTAGAGTGCTGACATGCTCCACCGTTTCCAGCAAAGGAGAGAAGGGGTTGCCTCTGCTCTCCAAGTCCTGGCTGGGCATCTGAGGGAGGAAGGCATCCGGGGTCCCCACAATGAACAGACTGTCATGGTATGCAGACAGCAGGGCATCTTTGGAAGGCTCCAGAGAGGAGACGTCAGTGCTCTCCAGCAGCGGGGAGCAACTGTCAGCCCACAGGTCACTGGGGTCCTGGAGAGTCTCAAGGCTCTGGTCCCTATCTTCTTTGGGCATCAAATCCAGGCGGTTGTCCACCAGCGGTTCTGGCGAGCCGCAGCCATTACTCTTTTCTACGGCAGCTGTGGCATCTGCACCCCGCCTGGGAGCCACAGCACACCCTGCCTCCCCGGGTGCTGTGGTTTCTCCGTGAGCCAGAGGGAAGCTGCCTGTGGACTTGCGTGCTGGGTGCTCAACTATACACGCCCCATCTTGGAAGCTCCCTATGACCTCTTCCATTTGGAAGCCTACCGCATCTACCTCACTGCTCAGCCAAAGTCCTGGGCTGAGAGCCCTTTCCTGGTCCCTGGCTACTCCAGGGGAAGGCTTCTGGTCATAATCCTTCCACATGGCTCCTGAAGAGCCTTCCTGAGATACTGCTAAAGCCGCTGTCCCTTGTGGAGGTTCACGAGGTGCCTCCATCTGCTGACCTGTCTGCAGGCCCAGCATATGCTTTTCTAACCCCTGTCCTTGCACAGCAGTGGGTGCTGTGAGCCCGGGATCCACACTGGGGACTCTTGCAGGACAGGGCCCCTCCTGCCAGCAAACAGGCAACACCTCTGAAGTCCTGCCAGCCCTCAGGCAGGGCCCAAGGGTCTTGCCCTCTCCCTGGTGGCCATCCTGAGGCGGAGGTAGTTGGCTTACAACCTCGCCGGACCCTCTTCCCTCCACACCCGAGGCGGGCCGCGCCCCCTGTGAAGCTGCAAGTCCTGGCTGTGGCTTCCAGCCACAGGGGGGTGGGGTGTTCTCACCCCCACGCACTCCCCTGGGTCCACTTCGGGCTCGCTCCTGCCTACCAGGCTTTTCTCTTGCCTGCTTGCCTGAAGAAGCAACCTTTCCGGAGCGAACGGTGCCCGCAGCTGCCCGTGGCCCTGATGAGGGCCGAGGCCACCCACCCCCATCTTCATCCTCATCAGAAACAGAAGGACTCGAGTCCGACAGAGCTCCACTGCAACTTGGAGGTGCCTGTGCATCTTCCTCTTCCAAAGCAGAGAGGCGCTTCTGGACCAGCTGGAAGAGAACAGAGGACACCAGCTCTCCATGTGTTTGTGAGAAGGGGCTGAGTGGGTGGTAGGAGATGGCATATGGGCAGGGCAGAAAAGAAAGTGGTCTAAGTGATACTATCACAGAGCGAGATGGCAGCTCTTCCTGTTTTGTTCTGTTGCCAGTGGGCAGTTTGAATGCAGGGCCCTTGTTCTGGCTAGGCTGGCATCGTACTGCTGAGCACGCCTCAGTCTTAGTTTTAAAGGTATTGCAGTTATTGCTCCTCAAGCTGCAGACTGATGGCCACAGCCTGCCTACTTGCAGGCAGGTCCCATTCGCGCTGGGATGGCAGGCAAGAGCCACTGAGTCCATTCTTTTCCATGGAGATAGTCTTGTGGACTTTTCTCCTCTGGCTGACCCAATACCATCATCTTCTGCATCTCAGCCTCCTGCATGGCTCAAGACGTCAGGCACGCTCCACTGTACCCAAATGGGTTGAGAAGGGGGTCTCACGAACCTTTTCAAGTCTCATCCTTCCATGTAGCTACAAGCCGGGGTGCTCACCTGTCTCCCTGTCTTTTTGTGACTTGAGCCATTGAGTTTATAACGAATCATCTTCAGGAAAGAACTGAAGGAGTTACTGGAACTGTTCCTCTAAAGCCACACCATATAAACGGGACAGGGCTGGACAAAACCATGCGAGCTGCTTTTCTGCTGCTTACCTGGGCAATTGTGAGCCCTTCCTCTTGCTCCAGCTCCTCAGTTAAGGCCAAAGGATCCCTCTGTTGTTCTGGGGACAGCAGGTCTGCCAGAAATTGAGGGTGGATAACAGCCTCCACCTGGGGACAGAAGGGAGAGTGGTGTACCTCTTCACAGATGACCTCTGAGTAAAGGCCTCCAGAGATGGCCCCGAATGCACACCCTATCCCCATCCTGGAGTTCATCCACCATGACTACCACCAGCTACTAAGTGTGCACCAATCCATTTCTCAGTTCCAGAATGCACCCTACTGCTGCCCACAAAGCACAACTCCCAAGGACAGCAAGAGAGCAGCTGTGCGGGCCCAGCCCACCTTGGAGACAAAGACCTCCTGAGAACACAGTTCATCCATGTAGCTGAGGAGGCTCGCATCAGGGTATATTCCTTCATCCTGCTGTCCTTCCACTTTGTGTCTTCCACCCGACTCCCCATTGTCAGAGTGGCTTCCCACCAGCCCTTCCATGATGTCCATGTACTCTTTTACAGCTTCCGGCGGGATCTCCTTGGGTGCCTCGGGAGCTGAAGGCCTCTGGGGTCTGCGCTGCCGCCGGCGGGGAGCCCGAGTCTTAGAGGCAGCCTTCTTTGGGATGTACACTGAGGGCAGAGAACAGAAGCCTTTGCTTCTACCTCCTATCTCTGCTCGTAGGGGCAGCAATCTGGTTACAGAGAAACAGGTCCTGCTACATCAAACTGTCATGAGGAAGGGGCTGGGAAGGTGGCTCAGTGGTAGAGCACTTGCCTTGCATGCATGAGGCCCTGGGTTCAATTCCTCAGCACCACATAAGCAGAAAAGCCAGACGTGGCGCTGTGGCTCAAGTGGTAGAGCGCTAGCTTTGAGCTGAAGAGCTGAGGGACAGCGCTCAGGCCCAGAGCTCAGGCCCCACAACTGACCAAAAAAAAAACAAAAAACAAAAAACTGTCATAAGGAAGTGCCATCATGGATGTAAAGCTGAAGGGTGTCACAAGGTCACACACCATCTCCACACACTGCACTTTCAAGAAACCCCACCTTCATAGGCAGGCAAGACAGGAGGGCCTCCTAACACAGAAGACTTTGCTTACCTGTCCTAGACCAGTATCTAGTTTGGGACAGAGGGACATGGACAATCAAGGCGCTGTAGAATGACTCCTGGAACAGGTGGCAGGGGCAGGCAAGGCCTCCCTGGTCTCTAGCCGGCCTGGGCCCGCCTCACATCCAGCTTGCTCTTTGCTTTGTGGGAACTGGGCACCCTTACCTGGCTGTGGACACACCTCAGGGGCGAGGGGCCCTGGAGCATCCACTTTCAGAGGAGCTGAAGGAGGCTGGCCCTGAGAGCCGTTTGTCTGCGCCTTCTGCATCTGCAGTTCCTCCTCAGCCTCAAACTCCATGAACCTGCAAAGAGCAGATGGCACAGACTGCTAAAGAGGAGACCCTTGCCAGCAGCCCAGCATGGCCAGGAAGGGCAAAGGCCTGGCTAAGTCAGCCAGGGGAGAGCCACCCACAGGTACCTCCACCAATCTGGGAAGCTCTGTGAGGCCATCATATTGCCCCTCAGTGGCCACGAAGGAGACGCACTGAGAAGTGAGAATTTTTATGTTCTCCACAGCTTTCTCAGGCTCATGGAGTGTGTGCAGCAATACGGACTACAGGTGATCTAATCAGACCTGTGTGAAGGCCGGGGCGGAGGCTTCTCATGAAAGCTTTGCCTGCCCCAGTCTACAAATGGAAAGGATGACACCTGTAGACTGAAACAGGGCCCAGAGCTGCAACCAAGGCAGCTTCCAGCAATGAGAGGAGAGTGCCGAGATCTGAGCTCTCTGGATAGACCAGGCCTTGGAGGGTAAACCTAGGGGGTGATGAGTTCAGGAGATTTGGAGAGAAAATGGGGGCTAAGCTTGGAGAGCTTTCCTGGTCCTTAGTTTGGGAGCTGTTTGCAGATTCCCCAGCTGGCCTCTAATGCCTGTGCTGGAGTGCCTCAGCCTCCTCAGTTGGCAGTGCACTGACTAGAGGTTCACTCCACAATTCTTCAGCCAAAGACAGTCCTGGAGAGATGAGGTTGAAGAGCCAGGAAGCCACTCCTGCCAGGCCTTCCGTGCCCCGATCAACTCCTCCCCGACATGAGAGAGGAGGATTGTTTTTACCGCTATTGCTGAAGGAGAGGCTGCTCCCCAAAGTCCTGTGCCAATAAACACTTGCTACATGGTCAGTAAAAAATGAATCTGCCTGGTAGGACAACATCCATACAACTAGGCTGCTTGAGCTTACAAAGTGCACACCCTGGGGCTGGTAAGGTGGCTCAGTGGTAGAGCGCTTGCCTTGCATGCCTGAGGCCCTGGGTTCCATTCCTCAGCACTATGTAAGAAAAAAGCTGGAAGTGGCACTGTAGCTCAAGTGGTAGAGCACTAGCCTTGAGCTGAAGAGCTTAGGGACAGCACCCAGGTCCAGAGTTCATGCCCCAGACCGGACCCCCCCCTAAAAAGTGCACACCCTAAGACCCTCCACAGGAAGGCCTCCACATAGGTCCAAGATCTGAAGGCAAGGACCACTCCCAAGAAGGGGATGGGACAGAGTGACAGCAGAGACAATGTTGGGGAGAAGCAGCAAGGATGGCGGAGACCCCAGCCTATGCCCAGACTCTTGGTTCCACCCCCGCCCAGGGGAACAGGGCCCATCAGACTCACTTCTCTGCCATCTCATAAAAGGTCATCCGGTCGAAGTTGCTGGTCCGCTCCCACTCTTGCATGGCCCTTGGCAGGCCTTCCTCCAGTGTCATTGTGGGCTTCAGCCGGGCCAGCGAACGCAGCACTGGGCTAAAACCCCCATTAGGTCAGTCATGTTTCAGAAGTGTGTTCCCCATGCCCGTCCTGAATCCTACCTCCATGCACACCTGGCCCCTCGGATCTAGCTATGGCTCTGTGCTGGCCCACAGCCTCCCAATCCCTGCCACTTACCATACTTGCCTCCTTCCCACTGAGAACCACTGAAACCAGCCAGGGCCACAACCCCTAATTCTCAGTGTGATCTTTAGCACACGTGGAAAAACCACTCGTGTTGCAAATGAATGATACTCACTACCAAGCAGATGTCATCCTGCTCAGACCCTTGTATTTTCCAGTCGTTTGCTAGCCCAAACCAACCTCCATTTAAAGATGGGCAGTAATTTTATTCCTTGGGTTTTCAGATACAAGATTTGACCCTCAAAAGGTTCCAGGCCCCTTTCTGATCCAGAGTACAAAGAGCCTGGTCTATAAGACCACACCCGTCAGCTGGGGCAGCTTAATAGCATGAATGGCAAAGCCCCTGGAGCCCAGGATGAACCTCTCACCAGCTTCCTGGCAGACTGCTGCAGAGGGGCTGGGCTGCACTTGGTAGAGATCATGCTGGTGCCCCGGTATGAGAAGGGTTGGGTGGGACCAAAACTGAATGGGCCCCTTGCTAACCACGAGAAGCCATACTGGCTGGAGAGTTAAGAAATTCAGCTGGCTGGGGCTAGGAAGGTGGCTCAGTGGTAGAGCGCTTGCCTTGTTCGATTCCTCAGCACCACATAAGCAAAAAGAAAAAAGCCGGAAGTGGCGCTGTGGCTCAAGTGGTAGAGCGCTAGCTTTGAACTGAAGAGCTGAGGGACAGCGCCCAGGCCCAGAGTTCAGGCCCCACGACCAGACCCCTCCCAAAATAAAAAAGAAATTCAGCTGGCTAAGCTGGGCGCCAATGGCTCATGCCTGTCATCCTACCTAGCTACTCAGGGAGCTGAGATCTGAGGATTGTAGTTCAAAGCCAGCCCAGGAAGGAAAGTCCACGAGACTCTTATCTCTAGTTAGCCACTAGAAAACTGGTAGTGGCACTGTGGCTCAACTGGTAGAGTGCTAGCCTTGAGCTAAAGAGCTCAGGGACAGTGTCCAGGCCCAGAGTTCAAGCCCAGGACCAACAAAAGAAAAAAAGAAATTCAGCTGGCCAGCCTCGGGGAGAACGCAGGGCTGCACTGGGAAAGCAAACTCAGAAAGACAGGCTTCATCTAGGGTGTTAGGGAAACCTCTAGGTTTGGGTGGTTTGAGGGGAGATCCTTGTAGGAGTTGGGCCAGTAGAAGAGGGAGATGTAAGTTTTTCAAAGTCCAGTAGAGTATCACTACAGAGGAGTTTATATGAAACAGAGAAGGTGCGGAGCAGCTGAAAGAGACACCAGTCTGGCTGGGAGACAGAGAAAATCTCCTAGATGATGTCAAGACAACAGATGGCATATGAGCCCAGGCTCCTTGACTAAAGGACATTCAAGCAAGGCCATTTTGGACTTTAAGACTGCCTTTTTATACAGCAATGAGATAGTTACTATATAATGATGCATTCTTTATGCCAGGCACTGTTAGTATTCTCAGCAACCTCAGGGATAGGTATAATCATCCCCTTTTTAGATAATGGGGGACAAAAGGGTAAATGTCCTGTGCAGGACTGCAAAGCCCTCCGCCTGCTGGGCCCCGTCCTCTGCTGCCCACAGGAGTGAGTCAGGGCCCAGCTACCCCGGCTGGCCACTCAGCGCTGTGTCCAAGGGCAGCCAGTGAAGTGTGTGGTGGGGGGCAATGACACTGGAGTCAGAGACCTCGGTTCCAGCCACTACTCAGGACAGGCAACTCTGAGTGTCAGTCTTCCCATCTGTGAATGAGTGGTACTATACTAGCCAGAGCTCAGTCGCAAGGCTGGGGTGACCAGCACCTTTAAAGTTTGCTGTGGACTGTCCTCCAATATTCCCAGATAACCAGACCCCAGGTCTACCCTTCGTGTCTGAAGGCTTACATGAGAAAGCAGGAAAGCGCCTCAGCATCCGGGCTCTGGGGCAGGCGCTGCCGGGCCAGGGCTTTGTAGCGCTGCCAGCGCCGGAAGTTCTCATACACTCCCTTGGACGCGTGGGCAAGTTCCCCCAGTGCAGGCCCTCCTTCCCCGCTAGTGCCCGGCAGCCCTGGCCACGCCTTCTCCAGGGGCACTATGGGAGCCAGGTGGGCTACCGGTGGAGGACCCTGAAGAGGGGAGACCGAAGAGCCCTCCTGGCCCCCTCCAGCAGCCTGTGTGGACAAGCTCCCACTAGAGACCACCACCTTAGGCGGAGGAGAAAGAGGAGGAAGAGGAGGAGAAGCTGCACAGGGGGTCCTGGATGCAATCCAGTCTAGGGCCGTGGGAGTGAGGATGAAATTCTGAGTTTGACAGGGCTCAGCGGTCCCTCCTTCAGTCTTGACCTTGACGATGACCTTGCCAGTCCCACTTCCATCCCCTGTCACCAGCAGCGGGTTGGGGAAAGCTGAGAACACCAATGGGTTGCCTGAAGACACAGGGGGCTGTGGAGACGGCTCCCAGGGTGGCTGGTTGGCTGAGCCAGGAGCAGGAGGGGAACGGGGAATCGCAGAGGAAGGAGACTGGGCAGCAGCAGGCTTCGGGGCCCCGTCCTTGCCCACCAGTGGAGATGCTGTTGAGACAGAGAGAAGGGGAACCAAGTAAGCAAAGTCGGGCCGCTCAGTCCTACGGTTCTTAAGGGAGCAGAGCAGCAATGAAGGCTGGGATGCAGACCCGGAACCTGTGTAGCCTGCAAATGTTCCCATGTAATTCTGATGTCCCTTACTTGCAGGTGAGAATTAATACTCTGGAGAATTTGTCCATGTTTCTTCCACAAAGTGATAGATCCAGCCACTCACCACCTCTAAAAGTTTCTGTAATAACTTGTCAGCTCTGCAGGTTGCTTACTAAGATGCAGAACTGAACAAACACCTGCTATACAGGGAAAATAGCCCACTGCAGACTCTAAGCAGCAAGGGAACAAGTCCAGGAAAAGTCCTATCCCATCTCAAGGCACCTACAGGGACCTTAAGGAGGAAGATGTTTCAAAAACACTGCTAAATGCTTGTAATCCCAGCTATGAGAGAGGCAGAGATGGGGCAGACCTGGTTCTTACCAGCCCAGGCACCCCACCCCATCTGTAAATGGTGCTTCATCCTTGCGATTCCAGCTATGCGGCAAGAGGATGTTGGTCCAGCTAGCCAGAGCAAAATGTTTAAGACCCTATCTGAAGAGTAACTTAAGCAAATGAGGTGCTGGTAGTGGCTCACACCTGTAATCTTAGCTACTCAGGAAGCTGAGATCTTCCTGAGTATTTTAGTTCAAAGCCAGACCAGGTAGTAAAGTTTGTGAGACTCTTGTTTCCAATTAGCCAGCAAAAAGTTGAACGTGGAGAACACCAGCCCTGAATTCAAGCACCAGCACTGGACACAAAAAGGAAGGAAAGAAGGAAGAAAGAAAGGAAGGAAGAAAGGAAGGAAGGAAGCAAGCAGGCAGGCAAGCAGGCAGAGGGAGGGAGGGAAAGAAAGGAAAGGAATAAGGGAGGGAAAGAGACAGACTTGTGGTGGGGGCAGGAGTAATGGCACAGTGCCTGCCTAGCAAGCACAAAGTCTTGAGTTAAAAAAAAAACCAGTATCACACACACACACACATTATTGGTCCAGCCTCTCCTCTCCCTTTTCCCGTTGCTCCTTATGTTCTCCTCTCTTCCCTTGTCTGTTGTCTGCACTTTGGGAGAGGAGGGATGCCCTGGGGAGCTCACAGCCCAGACTCATCCACTAGCAGACATCTCGGACACTGCTGGTCTCCAGATGATCTGTGGCAGTTCCCAGGACACAGTACCCAGGATGTCTGGTTCATAGAAACTGTTACACACAGCCAGGAAGGATTAGAGAAGGACCAGGAAATGGCGAAGGAGGCCGGTAGGAAGAGGGCAGTATTCAGGGCTTTAGTTAAGTAACTGCTGGCCATGAAGGCTAGCTGCAGTCCTTCTGAAATTTTGGTCTCATTAGGAAGACATCTTTGAGCTGGTGCTAAGAATCAGGTACAGTGCAGGCAAGGAGACCAGCACATCAATGCAAACATGGCTCATCAGGAGCCGCATCTCCCCAAACCAAACATGCAAACTTCATGGCACTCTCCTCCCACCTCACAAAGAACATTCCACTGATAAGCCAACAACACTCAGCCTCCATTTTCTGATCATGGAGAAGCCATAGGAGACAGATAAACAGATTCAACCCACCTCACTGTAAGAGTTGGGAGTGATGCCAAATACTGAATGCAATGGAACAGGCCTGAGTTTGGCAAAAGGGAAGGAAGCCCTGCTTGGCATCCCAGCCGGAGCAACCTACCACTTCTGGCTTTGGCCAAGGAGGAGTGCTCCAAGCTACACACGGCAACTTACACCTATGAGGCTGAGAGCAGAGGCGTGCTGACTGAGGCCAGCCTGGGTAAAAAAGTAGGAAGGGCCCATGTAGCCAATGAAAACCTGGGTGTGGCGGTTCACACTGGGGACCCCAGCTGCGAGAGAAACAGGAATAGGACCAACTGTAGATCCACGCACAAAAACACTGACAAAACCAAAGGGCTGCAGGAGGGGCCAGGTGATAGAGCACCTGCCTAGGAAGCCCAGAGTCCCGAGTTCAAAAATCCAGTACCAAAAGAAAGGAAGACTTCCCCAAAGGGCTGGGGTGCATCTCAGTGCTCGGGCATTTGCCTAGCCAGGCCCTGAGTGCAATCCTGGGAATCACAAAAAAAAATGAAGAGCCCAGGACCCAGTTCTGTTTTCACTGATAAAAATCCAAGACCAACCTCCTGCTTCTTGAAGACCCAGGAACTCAGCCTTCTCCTGGAACTTCTGCACACTAGCACCACACACACCTCTGCCCCTGCCACACAGATTGAGTTGCTTCCTGATTGCCATCCTTCCTCTGTACTCAGTGTGCTTCCTCCAGGCCCCTCAGCCTTTAGGAGGCCCTCCTGCTTCCCCAGCCCCAATCTTAATGGTAAAAATCTCCTCCAAGGCTAGGAAGGTGGCTTAGTGGTAGAGTGCCTGCCTAGCATGCATGAAGCCCTAGGATCAGTTCCTCAGTACCACCTACACAGAAAAAGCTGGAAGTGGGGCTGAGGCTCAAGTGGTAGAGTGCTTGCCTTGAGCAAAAGACACTCAGGGACAGTGCCCAGGCCCTGAGTTCAAGCCCCAGGTACTGCTTTAAAAAAACAAAAACAAAAAACAAAAAACCCAAACTCCTCCCCCAACCTTCCCAAATGTGATGTCTTTGGTGGGACCTAGTGTCTCACATCCCTCTAAGCCCAAAGATCTTGTTCCCAAAGTAACAAATATGAATCCCCAATGTCCTGAACAGGTGGCAGGACCTCTCTACCACCAGCAGACTTACCTCCCTCCGAAGCCATTCTTTCATGTATGAGTACTGTGTCTGTCTAGTAAGCTTGCTGCAGTGGAAACCCAGGTATCCAAGGAAAGGAGGGTAAAGATGGGATCAAAACAGAACCAGAACCTGGCACCCAAGCATTCTTCAGTGGGGGGAGGGGAGATGGAACTGTACTGGAAGGGTGGTGAGATGGTCCACAAAGATGACAACCATCAGGATGGCCCTCCAGATTACAGCCTGGCCAACACAACAGACACAGCGTTTGTCCTTGGGTTTGTGATAGGGCATCACTATGCAGCTGAGAGGCTGACTTGGAACTCAGGATCCTCCTGCCTCAGACTCCCAAGTGCTTTGATACAGACAGGCATGTCCCACTACACCTGCAAAGGCTTCCTCGGAGTCCAAGCCTTAGTCTAAAGTTTCACATTTCTATTCCCTATACTTCGCTTCTTCACAAACATGTCTAACTTTGTGCTGTTCAGTGCCATCTAGTCCTGTCACCGACTCCCTACTAATAATAGGTTGGCAGTAGATCCTGGGACTAATTTGACTATGGCTATGTATTCTGAGCTAAATTCAGAGCATGGGGGCTGTACATTTGGAGGATCAAGAAAATTACTAAATGTTCAGGCTGCAAATGGGGCTCAGCCAGTGGCTCAAGTATAAAACCTCGAGTTGAATCCCTGTATTTCAAAACACAAGTCCCTAAGTGTTCAAAGCTGAAGTTTTCTTAGATTTTACATTACTTCCTCAGAAAGCTGCTCTGCAAGACTGGCTGTACACACTCGAAATTCCAGCCTTCAGGAGGCTGAGGCAGGAGGACTGTGGATGGGAGGCAGCCTAGGCTGTATATAGACACTGTCCAAAAAAAGAGCCGGTGCTGGTGGCTCACGCCTGTCATCCAAGCCACTCAGGAGGCTGAGATCTGAGGATCGCGCCTGTCATCCAAGCCACTCAGGCTGAGATCTGAGGATCACGGTTCAAAGCCAGCCCGGACAAGAAGCCGCGAGTGGCCCTGTGGCTCAAGTGGTGGAGCGCTGGCCTTGCGCTGAAGAGCTCAGGGACAGCTCCCAGGCCCTGAGTTCAAGCCCACGACTGACAAAAAGAAAAAGAAGGAAAAAAAGCCGGGCACGCCGGCCCCAGCTGTTACCTCGGTTCCTCGGGAGGCGGAGACCAGGATTGGAGGAGGCCGTTGGAGGCAGCACCGCCCCTGCGCCACAGGCCCAGAGACCAAAGGCCCCGAGGGCGGCTGCGGCTCCAGTGCGGGGCCTGCGCCAGGCAGCGCGGGCAGCGCGGCGCCCAGGGGAAGGCCCGGGCCTGGCGCGCGCAGACGTGCGGAGGAATGGACCGCGCGGCCGCTGGTGTTGCACTGCCGCAAGCTCGCGCCCTCCGTCCTGCGGAGGCCTCCTCCCAACCCTGGGCAGCCCTGGTCTCACCTCGGTAGGCCTCGGTCCCACCCCGGGAGGCCTAGGCCCCATCCAGATAGGCCTCGTCCCACTCTGGTAGGCTTAGGCCCCATCCAGATAGGCCTCGTCCCACTCTGGTAGGCCTAGGCCCCATCCAGATAGGCCTCGTCCCACTCTGGTAGGCCTAGGTCCCATCCAGATAGGCCTCATCCCACTCTGGTAGGCCTAGGTCCCATCCAGATAGGCCTCGTCCCACCCCGGGAGGCCTCGTCCCATCCAGGTGGGCCTCATCGGGTCGGTCCCTCCCAGGGCCGCACGCCCCGCCCCGCCGGCGGGATCCCGGAGCACATGGCGGCTGTGAGGGATGCCGGGCCACGCAGCCCCAGGCTCGCGGCGGTTT